GGAAGGGCGCAGTTCCTATTTCATCCATTTCCCGCGCATCTATCTTAGATTAACAAGCGGCGAATGCTAACTGGCGACTCGTCTGTGCACTCAAACCAGCCTCTCTGGTGCAGAAGGGCGACCCCACCCTCGCCTGGGGAGGGTGCGTCCTCGAGTAGACACCATATTCCCAGGGTCAGGTCGACCCTGGGTTCAGGGTGGGAAGGCCGCCGCGCTCGAGGCCAGGTTTGCCAGAGGCGTCGGGCACAAGAGCAGCGGAGTCGCGCCTCCAGGCTGCTTGGTCTAGCGTTACCCAGGACGGCTCCCGGGCGCAGCTCTCGGGTCACGTGCCCCGGAGGCCTCGGCCACGGACGGCCTTCATCCAACTGCTCCGAGCGGTGAAAGGCGCCTAAACCCGGATCCTGAACGCCCGGAGGGATTCTCGAAACAGCTGTCGCGCCCCTTGACGTCTGCGTTGGGGTGGGGGAGGGGAATCTAGGAAGAAAGTACCTGAAGTCTTAGGGCAAAAGCCAACTGAGAAGAGGTAGGAGAGACTGGGATCTGATAGCGACCACCGGCTACCCACTCCCAAGGTGACTAGCTCCGAGATTATTATGCAGTGGGCTAGCAGAAAAGCACTGCCTCGAAATTCAAATTTCCCTACCTCATTGACTCCTGGAATAGTCCTTTGGCCGCTGAGTAAAACTAATTTTTCTTCCTTTCTCCTCCCATTTCTCCCAAAGGGGTGGCGGGGGGGTGGAGGAATGTCTCCAGATATTAACCTAGTTGTTCTGACTCCAAATTAAAACATCCCTTTACACTGTCCAGAGACAAGGGTGAGTGTAGAAATTCTGCCCGGAAATTTCATTCGTTAGAATGTGACTATTAACTATACAAGTTGCCTTCCTGCTATTTCCTTCTGGAACAAGATGAAAATCCCCAATAAAAGCCAGGAGTAACCCAAACTATTACTACTGTGCTGTTAGAGTGAGGGAGAACAAGAAAGAAACTTCATTCCTCTCAATTTTTCATTTCTGATAAACTTTAAACACCTTTTCATTTTTAAGATCCAGGGGGCATTTGATCGGTAATTTAACTTGACTGATACCAAAATTTAAAAGTTCATTTTGTCTTAACTATTAGTTTATTTTCCTTAATCAAAAGAGCCTTAAGCTTATTAAAACAACAACAACAAAAA